AAATCACAATATGTTTAAATATCCTTGAAAAATAAATGTTATTTTTAACCATATAGTGCCTAAAACTGCACTGGTACTCATTCAAATCGACTATTCAGTATTTTTTTTTCTACTTCAAATACAATAAAATCTGAATAAAATGTTTTATTTTAACCAATTTTTTAACCATCACTTACTGTGACAGTAAGTCTCTCTCTGTGGTCAACAGCAGACCTTTAACAAACAAAATACATCAAGAAAGAATTCACGAGACAAAATAAAACTATTGAAATTTAAAAAAAGGTGTTCTTTGCTACTTGTAAGATATAAAAATGTATATAATATAAAATGTGATGAACTCAAATTACAGAAATAAAATCTAGATAGTGACTAAAAAAAAAACGACTGATCTAGAACAGTCACGGGTGGCACCGCTGGTTTAATTAACGTTTTCTTTGGTGTGTGGGGAGATGTTGATAGGCAGTTTAAGACTGTTTTAATTACGCAGTGTTTAACAACCCTTATGGTGTTATAGCACCACTAGGTGGGGGGCTGCCCTACTGCTGTAGTGGTTGGGGGAGTCTTCTAGTGGATGTGTGAGTACAGCGGCAGCTATTACATGCTGCTCGTGTTCTCAGGAGAAACCTTACCGATGTAACGCTGTTTGATTTAACTGACTGGCTTCGAGCTATCCGGCTAACCTCCACACCACGTACCCGCTGGACCTGCTAGCTGCTCCTTCCTCGCCAGACTGCTGTTACAAGTGGAATAATTTCAGGGTACTGCTACCCTCTGTGGCAGTAGTTTCACGTTTTACATTTAGTTCGACATCCAAACAACAGCGAGTCTCTTACTCTCGCTCGTCTGAAACTCCTGTCGCCATATTTTCCCCTCTCTGGTAGCATATAAACACACATGCTCAGCGCAGTGCTCCAGGTAGAACATTTTCAGGTTGGGAGGGGTTATTAATGACGTATTCGCAGCGTGTGGGAAAAAATACTTACAGTGAATTACATGCAGATGGCTTAATAT